GGGCAAAAAAGTCCACCCCCTCCCCCCCCCCCCCCCCTCCCCCGTTGCTGTGAGCCTTTGTGTCCGTACTTGGCATCCAGAAAAACTGGTAAGCTGACCAGTTTCCTTGTCGATAATGAAAGTCAGTTACGGTAGTTTTAGCATTAAAAATACAAAACCACGGCCCTGAAAAGTGTCCATAAATTTGAAAGCCCTTACCGAAACTTGGTGGGGGGGGGGGTGGGTGCCGTAATCACGGGACCAACCCGTGCCCACAAAAACAACTAATACACGTTCGGATGGTGAAGCCTTATGGTGAAGCCTTATGAACTCTTACAGAGGAGTTGTTGAAGTCTATAAAATAAAGGTTGATTTCCTTTAGTTTTTTGACTGAATTTTGAAACTCGACACATTGGTCGATGTTACAAAGTGTGAAAATGTGCCACACTGATTGGTCGATGTTACAAAGTGTGAAAATGTGCCACACTGATTGGTCGATGTTACTGTTACAAAGTGTGAAAATGTGCCACAATGATTGGTCGATGTTACTGTTACAAAGTTTGAAAATGTGCCACACTGATTGGTCGATGTTACTGTTACAAAGTGTGAAAATGTGCCACAATGATTGGTCGATGTTACTGTTACAAAGTGTGAAAATGTGCCACAATGATTGGTCGATGTTACAAAGTGTGAAATGTGCCACAATGATTGGTCGATGTTACAAAGTGTGAAAATGTGCCACAATGATTGGTCGATGTTACTGTTACAAAGTGTGAAAATGTGCCACACTGATTGGTCGATGTTACTGTTACAAAGTGTGAAAATGTGCCACAATGATTGGTCGATGTTACTGTTACAAAGTGTGAAAATGTGCCACAATGATTGGTCGATGTTACTGTTACAAAGTGTGAAAATGTGCCACAATGATTGGTCGATGTTACTGTTACAAAGTGTGAAAATGTGCCACAATGATTGGTCGATGTTACTGTTACAAAGTGTGAAAATGTGCCACAATGATTGGTCGATGTTACTGTTACAAAGTGTGAAAATGTGCCACACTGATTGGTCGATGTTACTGTTACAAAGTGTGAAAATGTGCCACACTGATTGGTCGAGGACCACACAAAATGGTGGTCCTTGTGTATCGTAATGAGAGCAGGATGATGTCCTGAACATTTTGTGTATACAATGAGCGGAGTTTCCTTGAACTTGAACTAGTTTCACACAGTTTCTATAATTAACTAAGGTGACAGCATCATAGAGAATGGAATACAAACATCAGAATTGCGTGAAATGACTAAATGTAACACTAACACCCACAGCTTTGTATTTTACAGAATATAAGTGGGGTCGGGGGCGCTTTTAACAATTGAAATTAATTTACAACTAAAAGCCAATAAAAAAAAATTGTTTAATTAATTAGGGCTCAATCAATACATGACGTCACGCTTCTTAGTACCATTTTACCCCCTCCCCTATCGTCACTAATCCGGAACACAAAATTAGACATCGTCAAGAATTCATGACCCCCCCCCCCCCCCCACCCACTCC